GCCCAGCTGCAGGACTGCCCGGGGAATGACTCGCGCCCATGTACCGGTTTAACACGGTCGATGGCGGCGCAAGTTCCGACCGAATCGCCAGATCAGCGGCTTGCACGCGTCCTATATAGCGATTTTGGAACTGCCTTTAGGACATTGCTTCGCATAAAATTTGTTGGTCGTCCTTTTTTCCCTCTGTCGGTAAACGGCGTCTTGGCCGAGACAGTACTCAACTAGAGTCCCACGATCTCATACCTTCGCCAAATAATGTTAATCTTTATGACTTACAAAGATGATTCCTCCTGATTATGCAAATAGGATCCTCTTTTGCATGAATTATATCAGTTGATCATATTCTCGATCAAAAGACAGCCTTATCTTAAAAAAGAAAGCCATTCTATCATTTCCTTATAAATTATGCAAACGAGGTCCTTATTTGAATAAGTTATATTTAATGATGTTCACCTTCACTTAACTTTCAAATACCCCAATTATGAAATTCGAGGCATTTAGCATTATGGAATTATAACATTTTCTCATTATTTATGCAAATTAAGTGTTAATTTACATAATCAATATCTGCCTGTGTTTCTCTCGTTCTCAATTACATGTCACAAACTTGAATAGTCCTATAATGTAATGCAGCTGATTTCCTCAGAATTTCCTCATTAATTATGCAAATTACATCCAAATTTGCATAATTGTTGCATAATTATGTCAAGCGTCACTTAAGCTACCTACATGCATTCCAAAAATCACGACGATCCATCCACCGGTTCTTGAGGCATCCTCTTTTGGATATTTTTAAAGAAATGCCGCTGCAGTTTCTAAATAAGCCGTTAGGGGGCCCTAACTCACGTCACTTCTTTCCCAGCACAGGACCTACCTACCATCCAAATTTCGTGACCCTACCATATCTAGATCACGAGATATCAAAACCGAAAGTTCGGCTGCAGTACCATTAGAGGCCGCTAGGGGACCTTAAATGTAATTATTTCGAGGCCTCATTAAGATCTACCCACCTACCAAATATGAAGTCAATCCATTTAAGCCTTTTTAAGTTATCATATTGACAGACAGACAGACAGACAGACAGACACACGACCGCCTACGAAAACATAACCTTCTTGACGAAGGTAATGAGGCCCTGGAGAGCGTCGCTGTCGACCTTCGTGCGAACATAAATACATTTACAGCATCTACAATATACGCAAACAAATCTTAGACGAGCAGAGCAATTTCCATAATGGGGAGCAAAACACATTTATTTTAGAGAACCACTCAAAGTAATGTAGTAAGAGTAATGAAGATGAAGAAGCAAACATCAAATATTTCATCGTGTTTTCTTTGTCTCTAGTAGGGCGTACAACTTCAGTAGGACACGCCTGTAGACACACCTAATTTGCACATTTTCCAGTCTTGTAACTTTCTATGCTGTTTTCGTCAGTTCTCACGTCAACGGTCACATGGCCGCTGTCTATAAATATTTTCTGCTCAATTGAAGGATAGAAAACGTATAGATGCGTGAATATACGTACCCCTGGAGACATAACTTACAGTAGTTCAGTTCTGTATCGGCTCCAGAAAGCGTCTTGTTCAGTACAACAAGAAAGGGAAACGATCTTGCCATCTTTTCACCCGTGGGTCGTGGCGTCTCTGAGTACGAGAGAATATCGGTAGGCACTTAACCTTCTACTCTTTGATTTATCTAACGTTATTTATTTTTGTTTGTACTAAAATACATGTAATTTCTAGTAGAGACGCGATCGCTGAGTGATCAAATATTTGATACACGGCTCAGCGTCTTTGCAGCATTTCTGTGCAGAGTTCAGTTTGGTCCGAGCCGGCCTTCCTTTCTCTCCAAGCAGATTGACGTGGGAAGATCGTTTGCTTTTTATATCTGGCCCCTTTTTTTGTCGCTACACCACAAGACAACAGACCTTCTCTGACTCTGGCTAATGGATACTGCCTAGCCATTTTGATACTGTCTTTTTGCCACCGGGGATCCGCTCGGAGATTAGGCCACCCTGGCCTGATTACGAGCGGCAGTAACTTTCTGTCGCTTAAACGCACAAAGATATTCAAACCTTTTTTTTTCTGCTTGCTCAACATAATTTGTTACATTTTATGCTATAGATATAAATTAACTTTCATTCTCGAAGGCAATAACCCTTACTATGTACAAATAGGTAAATATGTAAAAAAAACTGTTTAGACCTTAGATCAAGTAGTATGGGTTGATTCACCTATTGTTTTGTACGTAGGTCAATTTTGTTGTACCCACGTATCTGTCTGTATGTATGATTGTCTACATGTAGTTAAGGACCTTACGAAAATCGCTGTACTTTTATTGTGTCAATGAAACTGACGCAATGAAATGTGATATCATCTCTTTCACCTGTCCCAGTGATGATGTTCAATTTATGCAGGTACTAGAGCGGGAGTACGGTTAAGAAAAATTACCTGGTACTAGCTTCCTATATTCCCTAACCTATATCAGCTGCCCGGGACATCTACCAACATGTTGGTGATATTCCTGGTAACGGTGACTGTTCTGGTCGGTCAGATACATCCCGCTCAAGCTGGTGGTATGCATCTCGCCTTGATATTTTTATGGGTTTTTATTGGATAAGTGCTGAGAAATTTATGGTCGAATTTTATTATTTTAGTCACTTGTTTTTATTATTGTAGTCACTTTAAGAAAAGAACTTTATTGCACAAGTGTACAAGGTACGTATGGCAATGACTACTACACAAAAAGAAAAATGTATAGAATCAAAATTAACAACCTAATTTCTTAGCATCTAGAGATTATACTGCACATAATCAAGTAGGGCTAATTATCAGTTTCGGCATTTTTTCTAATAACAAGACGGTCTTTTACTTATTTTTGCATTATTACATAAGTTATAGATTAGATATAACAGTTATTGATATGTTTTTTTTTTAGAAATGATGTTAAACGTCGTCGATAAGGTTAGTACATGCATTTCAAAGTTACGTTGTTTACAAATGATAAAGCATTTAGTAAGGTTTCTTAAGTATTAATTTTTATGTTCCTTTTCTATTGTATAATCATCCAAAACATCACTCAGTTGTAAAATATGTGGGGTGCTAAATGGTCAACTGTAATTTTTCTTGGTTTATCTTCGAAATTCACGCCGCCCTATCACTCTATATTTGTGACATCTTTCTTCTGGTATCAACATTTTTCATTTGCAATTTTATGTACAAAACGTCTTACTTTGATATGCAAATAGCCCCAATGTTGTATCGATAACAGGCTGTTCCATAAGAACGCAGGTGCAGCATGACCATAATCATTAGCAATTTAACATACGCACACATAATTAAGAGTTAGATGTTTCAGTAATACGAGTTGTATTTATCGTACGTTCAGTTCACCCCCTACTCGGGTACACTCCCCAGGAGTCTACAGGCTGGCGATGTGATTACAGTCAAAGGCGTCTTTCCCCAAAATGCCACTGGGTAAGTTATGTCTCAATAAATCCAACATATATCTGCATCGCTGGTTGGTGAAGGTCCGTGGAGACTTTTCGTTGAGAAGATTCATTTGTCACGTATAGATTCTTGCAACAGTGACAAGTTTGAAGGGTAAAGATACTGACCTACAAATTTTCGATGACTATCAGTCGATCTTCAGTTCACGGAGGGATCTAGTCTCGCGAGAGCGCGAGGCCCGAGGGCCCAGCAGACCGATGCAAGTCTCGGGCCTAGTCTCGCCTTCGACCTGCTGAATTTTGTGTCATATGAGATGGTTGCGACCTTCCCGTTAAAACGCATTGGAGATGCTTTTTCCTACTAAGCATTAGTGAGGTATCAAATCATGTAAGAACATAAGATAATCATGATATTCAAGGCAATATCTGTTGCTAACTATTCCAACACAACGTGGGGTGGGAATAGGCAAGGGTTCGCTAAATAGTCTTGCTTCATATTATTATCAAATATATGGTCACAACAGTCACAATACGTGTGTGTAGGGATATATGTTTTGCATCCTATAGGCTGGTCTTACCGTACATGTATCCTTTCAACTGTAGTAATAACCTGTATTCTTTTCTCAGGGGCGCAGTAAACCTGAAAAGAAGCAACCAAACACCACTCCATTTCAAGGTGCTTTTCAACGACAACTACGTTATTTTGAATAGTAACTTGGGGAGTTGGGGTCTGAGGATTACGCGATACATCCCATTCATCCGGGGAACCGACTTTACCATGACCATCAGGGTGACTTCGGAGGTTTTCAAGGTACGGAGCGGTGCTCTATTTCACTTGTATAGGCTCAGGTTGATCACTTAGTCGATGGGAGAATTTCTTGCCTTTTTCTTGCTCCTTTTAAAATCCATTTTCATAACGGAAACACGGTGATGTTTACCTACATGTTGTTTTTGTTTCTATCACCGTCCAAGGCCTGTAGACACACCTAATTTTGCACATTTTCCAGTCTTGTAACTTTCTATACTGTTTTCGTCAGTTCTCACGTCAACAGTCACATGGCCAATTTCTATAAAACCTCTCGTGTTGTCACGCACATATACATTTTCTACATTTCAATTGAGCAGAAAACATTTAATGTTTTCTGCTCAATTGGAATGTAGAAAGTGTATAACGTTATGTGCGTGACAACACGATAGGCATTACAGTTACTGTAGCTCAATTTTGTATCGGCTCCAGTTCATCATTCTTAAAAGCGTAATTGCTCTGTGACAGGTACACATGGCATGACTTTAGGCCACAGCAAGTAATCTTTATGGATGACATCTTCGCGCGCATTAATTTTCGCCTGATTTTGAAAAAAAAATTTATTACCCTCTGACACACTATGATACTCACGCTATACCCAGCAGTGTCTGGTCGCCATCTTGAATTTTCGCGCGACGCGCAATGTTTCATGGGAAATTTTAGACTTCTCGCACATATTCTCGCGAGAATATCAGCGCGAGATCTAAACAAACGCACATTGCCGGGGAATTTTAACTTGCTAAAACATGTCGTCGGGTCCGATTTTCTCGTCTCTCGTCACGGACAGCTCTCGGAGCAGCCGTAAGAAGTCTGACAGTGCTTTAGGCACAGAGTTTACTCTAGTGTGTGACCGTGTCCCTCTTCGAGACCCTTCTCCTACCGTCCAGCGGTTTCTCTGTTTTGTTTTCGACAATGGATCTGGAGCTATGTCAACACTGCCGATTGATGTGGGAGGGGAGGGGATTAGCTTGTCAGACATGAAGGTAAGTTATTATTTATACCTTACAAAATTTCCATCATTTTAAACTGAATTATGTACATAGCTTGTGAAATAATTCATCAAAAATGACCATGTTTTTATGGTCGTTTTTTTGGTCATCTTTATGGACAATGTTAAGAAGTGACAGATGATTGATGACATATTTTTATTATAATTAATTATAGGAGGTGAAAGCCATGCCCCACATAGCAAGTGGCTGCACAGCGGTCTGCCCCCCCCCCTTGCCACCCAAACCTGGGAAGGACACCAAACAAGTCATCCTCTGGGGTGGCTTGGACAAGAGGAGGTGGTGCTGTTCAAATGACCTGACTCAGGTAAGATAACATCTTCTGTTTATTTCATAGTAGAAATTCACACCTTTTCTCCCTATTTATTGTGCCATCATTATGACCTGACTCAAAATAGTTTTATTTTTCAAGAGGTGTATTGAATCTCCACAAATGATAGTCTTATGGAAGTGATGACACTGCGAAAGCATAGTGTTATTCAATTTAATCTCCACCATCATAAACTGCTGTACTAAATAATTTGAAAGTCAATGCTATGAGATCAGAAATAATCAGTATAGCAAAATATTACTGATACCTTACATTGGAACCAAATAGTGATGCTATTGTAATTATTACCTTCGCCAAGAAGGTTATGTTTTCAGGGGCGTTCGTGTATGTGTGTGTGTGTGTGTGTGTCTGTCTGTCTGTAAACACGATAACTTGAGAAGGCCTTGATGGATTGTCTTGATACTTGGTAGATGGGTAGGTCTTGATGAGACCTCAAAATGATTAGATTTTGGACCCCCTAGCGGCTTGTTATGGTACTGCAGCTGAACTTCCGGTTTTGATATCTCATGATCTAGACATGCTATGGTGATGAAATTTAGATGGTAGGTAGGTCTTGTGCTGGGGAAGAAGTGACCTGAGTTTAGGCCCCCTAGCGGCTTGCTCTGGAACTGCAGCAATATATTCTTGAAAATATTCAAAAGGGGATAACTCAAGAACCGGTTGACGGATCGTCGTGATTTTTGGTATGTAGGTAGCTTACGTGATGCTTAATATAATGATGTGACAATTATGCAAATATGGATGTAATTTGCATAATTTATGGGGAAATTCTATAAATCAGCTGCATTCCATGATAGGACAATTGAAGCTTGTGACATTGGTAATTGACAACGAGAGAAACACAGGAAGATATTGATTATGTTAATAATGACTTAATTTGCATAATTAATGAGAAAATTTTATAATTCTGTGATGATAACTGCCCCGAATTTCATACTTGTGGTATTTGAAACTTGAATTGAGGTGAACATCATTAAACATAATTTATTCAAATCAGGACCTCATTTGCATAATTTATTACGAAATGCTAGAATGCATTGTTTGTTAATATAAGACTGTTTTTTGGTTGAGATTATGATAAAATGATATAATTCATGAAAATTAGGTTCCTATTTCTTAAATCGGGGGAATAATCTAATCTATAATTTGTCAGTCATAAAGATTAACATCATTTGGCGAAGGTATGAGATCGGGGAACTCTAGTTTTTATTATATTATTGCTGTTGCAGGTTGACATCACCATCACACCGAAGACCACCACAGCCAAGGTCTCCATCCTTCCAGGGGACAAGCAGGACGGTGTCCCATCTCCGAGAACTGGCCACACCCTTGTGGCCATCAGCAGCTTGCAGGCTATTCTGTTTGGCGGGCTGGAACTGGCCAGCAGACACGTGGGACTCGGGACATGTGCGCAAAGCTGTAAAGATGGGTACTTCTATCTCCTCGACATGACCACACTACGCTGGAACAAACTGCCTTTACCACCACTGGTCCCAAGAGCGTACGACTCTTCCACATGGGTACCTGCGTCATCTACCATGGTGATTGTAGGTGGAATCACATACAGTGGTCACTGCCCATCCGAGCGTTTGTCAGTCTCAGATGTAGTGTGCCTTAAGGTCTCTGATACTAGCCAGTACACTCTGACAGAGATTCATATGGAGGGGGTGAGAGATTCTTATGTGTCAAGTTCATCTGCCTCTGCTCTATGTGGTGATCGTTTTGTTTTGTATGGTGGTTACCATCACGATAAGTCTGGTCTCCATCCACCAGAGCCAACTTGTGACTTGTATGTCATGAACCTTCAAACAAAGAAGGCTGTTGTGCACCATGCACCTACGAGAATGGCCAGTGCAGGCCATACATGTCTGAGATTGATTGATAATAGTGTAGTTATGATTGGAGGCACATGTAAATCTGTCAACTGTTGTACCAATCTGTAAAAAGCTAAATAATGTATTTTGATCTTGATTTGTTTTCTTGTTACAGATTTGTTGTGCTTTACTGTTTGTGTACATGTATCAGGCCTCGAAATTAACTTTTCTTCCTTTTGTCCCAGCACTGTCCCAAAAATAAATTTATAATAATTGTCCCAACCTTTTTTGGGAAGTATTGTATGACTTAAACTTTATTTTGCTTACGTTCACTCCCAGGGGCAAAATAATTGCAAAGTAGGCAGGAAATTCGGTGGGACTTTTTTGGATCCTTAAGTCAGGACTTTTAATTTCGAGTCCTGATGTATGTATAGAGATTGACTTCAGTCTATGAGTATGACTGTAAAAATGTTGAGCTTTGCCTCTATTACTAGTACTTCACTTAATTTATTTGGAAAAGGACACATCTATCCATCTATATGGTATATGCACAGTTGATAGTTGAGGTGACAGAGACTGCATTTGCAACTTGTATATTAAACTATATCTATAAAAGTGGCTGCAATAACTAGCTGGTAATAAAGAGGAAAGACTGTATATCTAAGTAAGACTAATATATCAAGATGACATAAAACACAGAGACTTTCTGGTGTTAAGTATGTACAGTGAAGTTTTATTTACATTTTGAACATGCACGTGCATCCAAGATATATCATTGACATAAAACACCAGCTTTCTGGTGTTTAGTATGTGCAGTGAAGTCTTATTTACAGTTTTAACATTGTAATTAGGCAATTAAATTATTACATACAGTTTTAATTTGAGTCACTTTCTATGTCTGCTGTACATGTTCTTACATTATGCCCTACCCTCCCACAACGCCCACAGCACAGTGATCTTTCTGTCACAGCTGCCTTATCTCTCAATGTCTTGGAGGTGTATAGCCAATGAGTGCATAGAACATCTCTAAGACCATTGTAAGTATTACCCTTTCTGGCATGGCCTAAACGAAGCTGGCGAAACAGCTTATTCCCTGCCTCGTTACCCTCGCTAGAGAGAGCTCCTACAGACCCTAAACCAGAGGGATGCTCAATAAGCTCCTGTACATGCTCAATAACCTTGTGTAGATAGTTGGTACAAGGAGCATAAGGGAAGTGCGTTTTAAGGTCATTAGCCATTTCAACTGCTTTGGCCTTATACTGGCGTACTTCATCTGACATGTCATTCAGTGGCCAGTTGGCCCTGTACACCTTTCTTAGCTGTCGAAACTTTGCCAGCACTTCTACCAATGCACTTTTTCGATCCGGCTTATCAACAAGTGCTACTAGCTTGTCAGCATGTTCAGCCTTGAACAACTCCCTAGCATAATTGCCAGCCATCATTAAGGTTGGGTTTAAGCCAGTTGGCTAGTTACATCATACAGACGTGCTTTACACAACCGTTTGCGCTGCAAACTCTCAGGGGTAGCCCTTGTCTTAACACAACCAACTTCATGCTGACCAACGTGCTGAAGGGGTTCAATCACTTCACATCCATTCGCATAGTATTTACATCTCACCTTAAGTGTATCATACACGTTAAGTAAGTGTCCAGTCAAGGGATTGACATCCTCATCAAGTGTCATTGCACCACGACATGGTGGACAAACACCAGCCCTCTTGAGCCAAAAATCAATACAATTACCACAATAGATGTGCTGACAGTTTTACTTATCACTGGGCTTTTACATGGAACTCCATGGCACACCGCACAAAGAAATGTAAAGGCTACAGCCTCGTCAACAAACCTTCCTACTTCCATACTGTCAAACTCAGTGGCAGTTTCAGTGGCAGCCCCACTTTCAACCTCAGATGACTCGTCAAACAATTTTCGTTTGTATGTCATTCCATAGTTCTGACCTGGCTGGTATGTCGTAGCTCTGACGTCAGCAGAAGGTGGCTGGTATGTCGTAGCTCTGACGTCAGCAGAAGGTGGCTGGGATGTCGTAGCTCTGACGTCAGCAGTAGGTGGCTGGGATGTCGTAGCTCTGACGTCGGCAGTAGGTGGCTGGGATGTCGTAGCTCTGACGTCAGCAGTAGGTGGCTGGGATGTCGTAGCTCTGACGTCACAAGAAGGTCACAAGAATACATCACAAAATGCGCTTATAGATTAGCTATTTGTTAAAAATTCTTAACAATTGATAAAAACCTGGGATGTCGTAGCTCTGACGTCAGCAGTAGGTGGCTGGGATGTAGTAGCTCTGACGTCAGCAGAAGGTGGCTGGGATGTCGTAGCTCTGACGTCAGCAGAAGGTGGCTGAGATGTCGTAGCTCTGACGTCAGCAGAAGGTGGCTGGGATGTCGTAGCTCTGACGTCAGCAGTAGGTGGCTGGGATGTCGTAGCTCTGACGTCAGCAGTAGGTGGCTGGGATGTCGTAGCTCTGACGTCAGCAGTAGTAGGTGGCTGGGAAAAAAGCCTTCGATTCTGTGTGGCAAAATGGGTTATTTTACAAGTTGTTATCATCAGGTGTAGGGGGGAACTTTTTTAAAATCATACAGACAATGTATTCAAACATAGAATACTGCGTTAAAACCTCAAACGGCTTATCAACGTACTTCAAGTCCACATGCGGAGTCCGACAAGGCTGCAATCTAAGCCCGCTCCTGTTTAATCTGTACGTTAACGACCTTCCATCCTTACTAAATTCACCACTATGCGACCCTGTCACTTTAAAAGACATTCCCTTTAATAACCTTTTCTGGGCAGACGATCTCGTGCTCCTATCTAAATCAGAAAATGGCCTCCAAGAATGCTTGAAAAGATTAGATAACTTCTGTACAACATGGAAACTGACAATTAATAGAGATAAAACTAAAATAATGATTTTCTAAAAAAATGGACAAACAAATAAAAATTACCGCTCACCTTTTCAATCACAGGGCCACACAATAGATATATCATCCTCGTACACGTATTTAGGAATAGATATAACTCCCTCAGGAACATTTAAACGGGCAAATAAACAACTTAGAACTAAAGCCCTCCGAGCCTCTTTCAAACTTAAGTCATTACTAGCAACAAATCACAACCCATCCATTACTCTCGCATTAGAACTGTTTAATACTCTAGTTAAGCCAATTTTACTTTATTGTGCTGAAGTACTAGGACCAAATATTCAATGCAGGGACCTAATTTTTAAAGGTATAGAAGAATCTCCCAACGAAAATATACGGAATATGTTATCTAACATTCTATCCCCGATAATAGGACCACAAGTAAATATCCTTGAAACAAATCGTATCGGGAGGAAAGCTGACCCTCACTCTAGCCGCCCTATACTCGCCCGTCTAAAGAAATACAGCGAAAAACTGAACATAGTACATAACTCAAACACATTAAGAAATCAAAACATATCTATAGAACAACCTTCTATATCATATGAAGTACCCGACCTAGAACATGTTCTCTTAAACTACTACAAAATCCTTCTCCGTGTCCCCAGAAGCTCCGTTACCGCCGCTGTAAGAGGAGAGTTAGGGGCGTTTCCTTTATACATAGACACTCAAACTCACCTCATCAAATACTGGCTTAGATTACACCACCTGCCTAATGATAGAATTGTTAAAAAAGCTTATGATATTGCTGTAGAACAGGAACATGATTGGGTTGTTCATATACAAGATATGTTATGTAGACATGGTTTCCAAAATGTTTGGTTAAACCCAGCGGTTAACGCCAAACATTTTGGAAACGTGTTCAAACAACGTCTGAAAGACACGTTTGTTTCTGGCTGGAGGCAAAATATCAGAAATTACAGCAAACTGCAAACCTATTCTACATTCAAATCTGACTTCGTTTTCGAGAAGTACCTTTCGTCCATCCAAAACAAATCCTTCGTTACCAACATAACCAAAATGCGAATCAGCGCACACTGTTTAGAAATAGAAAAAGGTCGTCATAATAATGTACCAGCCACTCACAGACGCTGTCCTACTTGCAAACATACTGTAGAAAATGAAGAACATTTTATGTTAACATGTCCGACCTACATTGAAGAGAGAAAAACACTTATGATCGCGATTAGCAACAATACAAATATAACATTACCTCAAACAATCTCGGATACTTTTACTTTATTTATGTCATGTCCAAATGCAATTTCTCTATACATAGGCCAATACATATCTAATGCTTTATCCAAAAGAAATCATGTTATATCTGACCCAAACAACTGATGCCTATTACATATATCATGTATGCCATATCCTACACCATACTGAATCAGATACGCAAAATAGAGTAGTAATTAGTCTGTAGTTTTAGAGGTCTCCTATACATATTTATGTAAGCCATGTTCAATGTATACTGTATCACGTTTATAGATAGTGTAGTATTAGACAAGTATTAGAATATATAACCTCTGTTAAATAGTATTATATAGATGTAAGTAATAGTGTAGATACCGAATTGACATATTGTACTTGTGAAGAACGAACTTGCCATACATTGTACCTGCTACAATTGTCGTGCAATAAAGTTTTGATTTGAATTGATTTTTGTCGAAGCTCTGACGTCAGCAGAAGGTGGCTGGGATGTCGTAGCTCTGACGTCAGCAGTAGTAGGTGGCTGGGATGTCGTAGCTCTGACGTCAGCAGTAGGTGGCTGGGATGTCGTAGCTCTGACGTCAGCAGTAGGCGGCTGGGATGTCGTAGCTCTGACGTCAGTAGTAGGTGGCTGGGATGTCGTAGCTCTGACGTCGGCAGAAGGTGGCTGGGATGTCGTAGCTCTGACGTCAGCAGTAGGTGGCTGGGATAGAGAGAGAGAGACTGGTTTATTTGTGCCTTACACAAAGTACACATAAAAGCCTGTAAGCAGCCATATTTGGCTGAATTGGAAAGGCTTTAAAATACATCACAAAATGCGCTTATAGATTAGCTATTTGTTAAAAATTCTTAACAATTGATAAAAACCTGGGATGTCGTAGCTCTGACGTCAGCAGTAGGTGGCTTGGATGTCGTAGCTCTGACGTCAGCAGAAGGTGGCTGGGATGTCGTAGCTCTGACGTCAGCAGAAGGTGGCTGGGATGTCGTAGCTCTGACGTCAGCAGTAGTAGGTGGCTGGGATGTCGTAGCTCTGACGTCAGCAGTAGGTGGCTGGGATGTCGTGTTGGATGATGTAGGGCGGCCCCTTCTTCTTTTGCAGTAGCAGGTACCATCTGTTGTGTGTGGCTGGAAGATGGCCATGCCTGTCCCTGCCTTTGATTTTCTTTGCAACTTGAGACGGCATTTGTTACAAACGAACTGTGGATGTACATCTGGTGAGTCCTGGCTCACATCCACATTGTATGTTTAGCGGATCACTTCTTCAAATGTCAGCACTTTTGCATTCCATCCTTTCACAAGTTTCAGCTTGCACACCCTGCATACAGTCTTGAGGTATTCTTTGTGCTCCTCCATCTGTGACACCTGAAATGCATGTGAAGATGTGAAGAACATGTTAACATTCAACGTCTAATATCTAGCTAGACATAGCAGCATGGACTCTTGGTGCTGTCATGCGTTTTAATTGGTTCAGTTCAGAGTCAAATTGTCTCTCTAGTTATTTAAAATCTAATTCGGGGGGGGGGCGTGGGCTGCTAGGTTTTGCATCATTTATTTTAGTCTGTTAACACATTCAAATTCTGTTTAAACAGAACTATTTACCAAATCCAGAACATCCTAGTATTTTAGGTCTATATTCTGTATTATTCCATACAGTATAATCTAGGGGAACGAGAACAATGCACACATTTTTTTATTGACAAAACCATGCATATCCTTTGTGTCGTAAAAAGTACGGTCGCGTCGTTGAATGGAAACATCTCAAAATGGCTCCCAGACATGTCAGGATACCACCCAAAAAACGGCTAATTCCGGAAAAAATCTGTACGCAAATAGTAGTTACTCCAAGACATCATTAAGATCATCATTTACCCCCTGTGGAGCAAGTCATTAATCTAAAAATTCATAACTTACCAAAAATTCGCCGTAAAAAGCTCCGGTTTTCGGCTCCTGGATGCTTGGACTCTCCCCTTTTCAAATCGAACTAGTGCGCAGGCGTACAACAAACGACTCGTTC